CCATTGATTGACTGCCCAAATGGCTGTGACAGTCAGGGCTGGACCAGGACAAAGTCAGGAGCCAGGCGCTCCCTCGGGGTCTCCCACATGAATGCAGATGCCTAAGCATTTGGGCCATCCTTTTCCACTGCTTTCGCTCCTATGATCGCCTTCTGGGACACTGCACGGTGTGGGTGTCCCCTGGTTGGCTGGTGCACACCTGGACTTTTCTAGATTCTTGAGATCTTGAATGAAACTTCCACGTGCCTTCTTCATGTGCCTTTGTGTGAGACCATGTGGGTGCATTTAATTCTTGCAGTGGCTCTTGGGGTCCACATAATTCTGCCCAGTTGACAGATGAGGGAATCAAGGCACGCAGGCTTAAGGCTCAGATTGCAGATGGGGTCTGTCTGACTGTGGAGTCTGGGTTTCTAGTCCCTGGTCCCTGTCTGCTCCCCTGGCTGTCTGGATAGGGGTAAATGGGGCCTCTTTGTCCAACAGTTCCTAACTGTTTAGCCCGTTCCAGCAGTTGACATGGGTACTCTCTGCTCTGTGTCCCCAGAGAGGGTTATTGCTGTCTTTGACAAGGACGGCAGTCCAGAAGCTATGTCCAAGGCATTTCTAGCCAAGGACATAGCAGTCTCAGCCAGGCAGCGTGTGAGCCAAAAGTTGTGCCACCCAACGCGCTGGCTGTCGGGAAATCGCACCTAGGTGTCATCCGTCATTTCCCACTCGGGAGTCAGGTGCCAGGGCCATCACAGACTGCGTAAATAACCCATGCATGAGATACCCAGGCTTTGTGCACAACTAAACAAGAGGCTTTTGGGGAGTCTGCTGGTGCTTGCTTTGCAAGATGTTGCTAAGCAGTGTTGCTAATATTATGGAAAGACATCTTCCCTCTTGCTTTTTTTTTTTTCCAGTCAGCCCCAGAAGTCCTGGAATTGGAAGCAGCTTTGGGGGAAGAGAGGGAGCTGGGAGGTCCCAGGTGGGAGAGGGCCTCGTGCCACTGGTCACCTGGCCTCCTGACTGTCCAGATTGACGACGCTGGGCAGCCCCCCCATGTCTGAGGTACCTCTTCCTTTTCATTGGAAGTTACACACACACACACACACACACACACACACACACAGACAGAGTTATAGTTTAGCAAAAATTTTAAAAACCACTGTAATTGAACAAAAAAAATATTTTAAATGGTTTCAGTTACCCAAGAACTTCTCCGCCTTTTTGTAGTCCCAACAGGAAATCAGCAGACTTTCCCCCCGGGAAACTTTGGGCACCTCAGAATGTACACACACACACACACACACACACACACCCGCCCGGGGCTGGATGCCACTGCTCGGAAATGCCATAGAGTCACCGACCTAGTTTCCAAAATCTGAGCCAGGCGTCAGGTCCACAGCTTAAGGAATGGGCAGGTCTATTGGTGTCTCCCCAGTCCTGCCTGGAGCTGGCCCTGTTGCTCTCACTGTGGGGTGGATTCCTTTGGGGCTTGTCCTGGATCCTGGGAGGTGTTTGGCGCTGGGGACAAAGGCTGTGCGTTTGGCAAAGATTCTTGCTATGCCCGCTTCGGAATTGCCTGCAGTGACCTCCGTGAGCTCCTGTCCCTCCTGCTCATCCTCACAGGGTGATGTTCCCAGAGCCGCAGCTCTGCTGGGGCCCAGCAGGGGGCGTCCGTGTACCTGCATCCACCGGGTCAGGTCCAGGTGTGCGAGCTCCGTGCAGGGCTGAGGTCGGAGAGGCAGCTCGGGGCGTGCGCCCCCAAAAGCCCGGGGTCCCCTCTATACTTCTGCGTTTGTAGCTCTTGCGTTGATGTAGAGGTTGTGGGGCTCAGAGCGGGGTGCTGATTCTCGTGGCAGGTGGGGAGGACCACGCTGAGGTGTTGGGGAGGGCGGGCGGGGGTTGTGCTTTCCAGGGCAGGTGGAGGGCTGTGCACCTGACCCAGTTTTCATACACGACGCCTCCTGTGCCTTTCCGTCCCCAAGCACGGTGGCGGTGGTTTTGCACAGCCACGGAGCCCCTGGGAGCGGGAGGTGGGTGCAGGCGGGAGGCAGCGGCATGGGGCTGAGCCCCCCGCAGCACAGGGGTGTGTCCTCTGTTTCCCAGGCCCCAGGAGGCCCCTGCAGGACCAGGCATGCGTGTCTGGAAGTCTCAGTCCGCTGGTCCCCGGGGGCTGTGAGGCTGTTTGCCCCGTGTGCACATTCAGCTTCCCTTGCCCACTTTGTTGCTGGGCTCCCATCCAGGCCACCCCATCTTTGAATCTCTCCTGGTGCTGGCTTCTCAGGGACTGGATGAACCTGTGAGCTACTGTGGGTGGGGATACTGCCACTGCACTTCCTCCCTGTGTCCTGACCTGTCTGGCCTTACCCATCCATCCCACAGTGTCCTGAGCGCGTGTCCTGGCCAGTGATGGGTGGGAAGATGGCTCCCATTCTTTCACACTGTGAGTTCTCCAAGGACAATGCCTGAGTTAGTGCTAGTGTTAACAACACCTCACACTTACCTTTTTTTTTTCCCCACAAAGATATCTCAGGTTCAGACACTTTTATAAAAAGAAAACATATAGGCAGAGTGAGAGGGGAAGAGAGAGTCCTGCCATCCACTGGTTCACTCTCCAGATACCCAGCACGTCCAGAGGTGGACCTGCTGGAAGCCAGGAGCCAGGTTTCCCAAGGGTGGCAGGGACCTGGCTCCTTGGCCATCACCTGCCACTTCCCAGGGCAGGCTTTAGTAGGAAGCAGGGATCAGGAACAGAGCCAGGATTCAAACTCTGGCACTGGGATGTAGGACGTGGGTGCCCCCAGTGGGATCTTAACTGCTATGCCGATTGCCTGGCCCAAGGGTTCACAGCTTTCGTGACAATAGCACGGAGCTGGAATTTAATAAATGTGTATTTGTTCTCATGGTATAAATGGCAAGTGATAAAGGACTTTCATTTAGGGTGCTGATAATGTTCTTTTAAAATTAAGTAAAAAAAAAAAGCGAGTTGATTTGATTATGGCAAAATAATATGTAAATGGCTGAGCACCAGGGCTGGAAGACAAAGCGTGGTGAAGGTGCTATGCGGATGGCAGGCTCTGTCGGGCCGCACCAGCAGGAGCTGCAGGTGTCTGGTGGTTGTGGGTGGGGCAGCTCTGTTCTGGACAAGGGTACGGGTCCGTGGCCTCCTGGCCCCTGGCACAGGCCTGGCAGCCCTGCAGCTGTTTCATCAATGCTGGTGGAGTGGGTAGATCTCGTAAAGCCCCTGGGGGGCTTCCTCTGCTGGGTCTGGGTGAGAAGGGCTGTGGCAGGAGGTAAGTGCGGGATCCCATCTGCACTCTGACGGTGGGTGCAGGACCAGAAGGCAGGGTTCCAGAATCTTCTAGCACCTAGCGCCTTGGTGAGACACTCATTGAGGGCCTGGGACTTCAGAGCAAGAATGAACATGGGGGAAATTCTGTACCTTCGTTTCAGGGTGGAGCGTCCACTGGACTTGAACTCAACCCCTCCTCCGCAGTGGGGGCTGAGCGGGGTGGGGTGGGGAGCCCCTCCCTCAGCTGCTGGTGAGGGTGAGGGGCGCTGCAGCCCCTTCTGGGCTGGATGGAGGGTGGTCCCCAGTACCCTCCCTGGCATGAGGCAGGAGGGGTCAGTCGGAATGCCTCCAGGAGTCCTGGGCGGTGGCTGAGGCTCTGTCTGTCCCCCTCCTCCGTTATCCTTGCAGCCTGCCCACTGCCCCTCCCAGGGGTGAGGCCCGGGCATTCACATCTCTTGCTATAAATAGATGTCCAGGGCTGTGTCTGATTCCCCCACCACCCTTGCTCAGGGGAGTCCACGGCCATTGCTAATGGATGTTTCATAAATACAGCAGGTGCATTTTGGAATCGCTCAGTGTTCCCTTGCGTCCATTGCAGCTTCAGGGCCGGCAAGAAGCTTGGCCCACTGGAGAGACAGAGGTCCGGGCTCCTCCCCCACTCCAGCACGGCCCCCTTCTCTGCCTGGATGGTCTGTTTGCCTGAGCACCAGGCTGAATTAACAACAAGGCATATTGCTTCTGGGACCTCTCCAGCCCCGACAGGGCTGTTTCCAAAGACGGACTAATTGGCTCGATTTAATTCCCTCCAGCCCCTTGCCCGAATCCTCGCACAGCCCCCCTCTGGGGAGGGGAGCGCCAAAAGCGGCTGAGCAAAAAGGGACTGATGGGGCTGCGGTCCCCCGTCTTGGAGCCGTGTCCTTCCTTCCCGGGCGAGGACGGAGCTTGCACGCGGTGCGCCGGGGGCGTCGTGTGTGCCACAGCCCGCGCGGGGCTCCCGAGCTGATGCAGTCGGGTGGGGGCGCCCGATTTGCGTCTCCCTGGCAACAGGGCGGTCGCGGAGAAGTTGGTCACCGACCCTAGGTTGTGCCCAACTCCCAGGGAGAGCCGGCGAAACGTATGCCAGCGAGGAGCCGACCCCTGCCAGGCTCTGGGGGAACGTGGGAGGCAGCGCCTGCCCACCCCGGCGCCCCCGTATCTCGGCCCGGTCCGGGGCAGGGAGGCTCGAGGCGGTGGTGGCGCGCAGGGACGCCCGGCGCGCGTCTCGGCTCCTGGCCGGTCCTCGCGCCCTCTGTTTTCAAGGCAGTGACCGCATCGGGGAAGTATCCCGGCGGGCGGACGCTTCTGCTCGGGAGGGAGTCGCTGCCCTAGCGGGCGAGCGCGGAGGAAGGAGCCGCACGGGCACCGGGCACCGAGCTGCCGGGCAGCCGCGGTCGGGGCCGGCCGGGGACGTTCGCTGCCAAGGTGCAGGAGGCGGGACCGGGGCGGGGTCCGGGCGCGGGCGGCGCATCAGAGCCAGAGCCCGGGAGCTGCGGGCCGGGCCGCGCCCCGGAGCGAGCCTCGGACATGCTCGCGCCCGGGGAGCGTTCTCCGGCCGCCCGGCGGGCAGGGAGCAGACGCTGAAGGTCGTCAGGAAGTGAGCGCCGGGTCACCTGACCCCTCCGGGGCGCACCTAGGCGGGGCGGGGCCCATGCCAGGCAGGCGGCCGGGGCGCGGGCGCAGGGACCGGCGCGGGCGGCGAGGACGCGCGGCGGACGGACTGGCGGGCGAGGGCGCGGCCGGACTCGGCCGGTGGCCTCGCCATGTCCCAGCCGACGGAGAGGATGCATTGCCGAAAGGCGGGGATCCGCGCCGCCGTGGTGCTCATCGGACTCCTGCACAAATCCCGAAAGCAGAATAAAGAGAAAAGGTAAAGCCGGCAGCGCCACCTCCCCTTCCCGCGACTCCCCCGGCTGCCTCCCCGGGACGGACTTTCGGAGCGGGCGTTCTTGGCTAGGGGGTGGAGTCGGGGCGCAGGGGGGAAAACCCTTCTCTGCGGGTGCCTTCACTGGCAGCGAGTCCAGAGCGTCGCCTGGCCGCTGCTCTCAAGCCCCAGGCGGGACGTTGGCCGAGTCGGAGGGCGGTGGGGAGGACGCGTCGGGGTTCAGCCCCGATCCAGGGACTCCAGGCTTTCGCCCGCAGACTGGCCGCTGGCGGGGCGACCTCCCTGCAGCCTGCGGCGCGGGGCGCAGCGCCCCAACCAGGGTGGCCGTGGCTCAGCGCGCCAGAGTCGCCTCTTCGCTTTCTCCAGCAACTTGAATGAGGTGCTAGCAACCTGCCTGGCCCCGAGGTCCGCGTGCTCTGGGTTTGGGATTGGGCCCGCGTGCTCTGCAAGTCGCGGAGCGAGCCTGGAAGGCGGCCCCCTCTCCCGCCCCACCGCCTTGACCCGTCTTGGGGTCCCGGGTCATTACCTGTTCACCTTGCGCGGGTTTGCTTCTGGATGTGAAAAATCGTTTCTGGGAGGAGAAGGGTGTGTGTGTGTGTTGGAAGGGTGATTAGAGTGCGAGAAGGTAAGGTGGTCCTGGGTTAGCCTGCTGCGTTCTAATCCTGCAGACGGAGGCTGTTGGCTCACACCTCTCTCTCCTGCTAGGTAGGTCCAAGTCACACACTGTCGGCCCAGTTGCTGCTGGGGCTGGGGTAGTGTCCATTGGCCTTGCCCCAGTTTCCAGAGGTGCCTGGCATTGCCCACGGGAAGGGCTACCACAAGGGCAGTGCAGTCTGAGATATGACGCCTGGCAGAGCGCAGCCTCCCCTGGGTTTGCCCAGTGGGCCTGGTGTGCCCTGGCAGGTGGTAAGCCCCCCAGGGCAGGAAGGGCTTGGAGGAGGTGGATGGGTTCTCGCAATGGGGTCTCCTCTCCTGGTCCCCTCTTCATAATGCTGCCCTCATAAAGTGTTTCTCACGGCTTGGTGTGGCTCTCCGTGGAATGACTTAAGGTGCTTACACATGAAGCAGCACTGAGTCACCCAGTGAGAAAGTTTTTCCCTTTTCAGTGGCTTGATAGTCCCTGCACTTTCTTGAGTGGGAACGTTTTGGATGGGGCTTTAACACCTTATAAAAATACTTGCTCATCTCTCTGTTGTCTGAGGATGGACCAGACCCCCTGGCTCAAGCCCCGTGTGCACGTGTGTGGGTGAACAGGGCCCGTTTGGAAGGCCCATTGTTTTGGTTTTCTTTGTGTTTTTAGGATTCCCTCTTGGTTACAGCTGGTGGTATTGATTTTTCCATTTGTGGTGGTGACATGAAGCGTCACTTTAAATGAAATGAGGGAAGTCACAAGAATGGGTCTATTGAATAGTGGTATCCCGTAGTACAAACGACATTGAATAGAGCTGACCGTGTCCTAAAGGGGGCTGCGATGGCTGCTGTGGGGGACGTGTGTGTCCAGCAGAAGAACTCCAGAGCCCTTGCTCCAGGCCTGGACCCCCATGTCTCTGCCCTTGGCCCCCTTCCGTCCTCTACTACATTCTGCATGATTCCCCGGAGTCACAGGTCTGTATGGGGTGGGTGGTCTGACACAAACTGGGCCTACCCAAGAATGACAAGGAAAATGCTGTTGATAACAGGGTGGGTGCAGAGGCCCCTGCCTGACTTCGGGCAGCCAGCCACTGCATGGTGTCCTGGACTTTTTTTTTCCTTCCTCCTTGAGTCTTAACATTTGCCTTCATGCAAAGGGGTTGTAAGGTTCAAGAGAGAGGCTGGGTGGTGACACTGGGTGCAGTGCTGCCCGAGGGTTCCGGTACTTGGTCAGGCCGCTGGTGAACAAGGTGACAGGTGGGGACCACATCTCTCACCATGGTCAGGATTGCTGGCCCTGCCCCTGCCGAGGAGGCGGCCCGACCAGGGTCTGGTGTTGATGTTGTTTTGAGGTCCAGAGCAGGACTTGGCCAGGAGACAGCAGGGACCTGGCCAAAATGCCCCGAACTCCAACCTCCTTTCCCCTGACATCTTGTCTTTCTCCGTGGATGCTGTGTGCTGTGCAGGGAGGTGTGGGCAGCTGTCCTGACCCCTAGTGTTATTCTGTTCACCCCTCGCGCCAGCCGTCTGGCTTTGGTCGTGAACTTCGCCTCCCTGAGGAAGGAGAGGTCTTGGCATCTTTGTGGTGGCGCTGTTTCCCTCCTGTGGCCGGGAGTGGCTTTGTCTCCAGGCAGGAGAAATGCACCCCGTGCACTCTTGACCCTCCTCTGCAGGCACCAGCTGGTCATGGGGAACCAGAGCAGGCTGCCGCTGCCAGCCTTCCCTTGGCGCTCTGCAACGCCACACTGGGCCTTCGATTTGCTGAGTTCTTCCTCCCTCCCTCTGTGCGTTGCAGGGGCGGCCCCTACCCAGGCCCCTGTTCTCCCTTCCACAAGGCCTGATATGTCCATCGCTCTTTCAGCATCTCTAATTGACAGGCACGTGCAGAGAACACTCTTGGGGTCTTGCCTCAAAGGCTCCGGTGGTCACATGTGGCTCGCAGAGATGTCTGTTCTGGTGGCTCTTGTCACCTTCTTGCTATCTCCAGGTTACTTAGAAACGGTGTGTTTCAGGGGGCAGATGAGAGTGGCCAGGAATATGGGAACAAGACAGGTGTCCCGGAAGCCTCCCATCTAGATCCCCAGTATCATGTCCAAGGCATTAGGCTCAGTTTGCCTCTTGGAGAAATGGGTGTGGGATTACTGAACCTTGGTGTGACCGGGGTCTTCAGGAGGTGTGGGCCCCACTTTCTGGCCATCTCCCCGAGTTTCTGTCACACAGGATCCTACACAAGTGGTGACATGTATGAGGGGGGAGCACGGCTGCCAGGAGGTGTCTGCATGAAGTCGTCCTCTCAGGACGTGGGGCTTCGTCACAGACAGCAGTGTGGGGCCACGGCAGCGGCCATGTCCTTGGCGGTGCCCTGATGATCAGAGCCAGCCTTCTCAGATGTGCAACAGAGGAGCATGTCGCATCAGCGTCCCCCCGGTGGGGAGGACAGAAATGGGGGTGGGAAGCTCAGCCCTCCCCAGGGTGGGGAAATGGGTGCCTTTGATTGGAAGGGCAGAGATAGAAACGGTGCAGTCAGAATATGTGCACGTGAAAGATGTGGGCAAAGTCACTGTGGCCTTGACACAGACCTCAGCCACATGCAGGCCAGTTAACATAGTGGAGGGGCTGGTGGTGCAGCATGTTAACCTGCCACCTGTCACATGGGCTTCCCATGTTGGTGTAGGTTTGAGTCCCATGTTCGAACCAGCTCTCTTCTAATGCACCTGGGAAAGCAATGGAAAATGGCCAAAGTGCATGGGCCTCTGTGACCACGTAGGACACCTGGAAGAAATTCCTGACTCCTGGCTTTGACTCTGGCTGTTGCAGCTATTTGGGGGACTGAACCAACAGATGGAAGATACCTCTCTGTGTTACATTGCCTTGCAAATAAGTAAATAACTCTTCAGAGAGAGAGAGAGAGAGAGAGAGAGAGAGAGAGAGAGAGAGAGAATAGCGTAGAGGAGAGAGACACGCAGCTCCTTAGGCCACCGTCTAGGACATTTCTCACATGGGGCACATGGGGAGCGAGGAGGGGGCTCTCACTGAGCCAGAGCTTGCTGTGGCTTTGCAGGGAGAGCTGTGAGCTTCCGGACAGCAGTGGTGGCGGGCAACACCTGTGGCAGTGAGGGAAGGCCCAGCCCTTGCTGGGAACAGATTCTATTGTGCAGTTCCCCCATTATGCACAGAGCCGGGAGGATTTGTGTATGCCACATTGATACCTAGGGCCAGCCCCACTGTCAGCTCTCCGGCAAGCCTGTCTCATTGATTGGCTACACCGTGAGGCCCACGTGACAGGCAGCTGGAGTGGTCTCTGGTCCAGTTGTGTTCTGGGACCTGTGCTGGGTTGAGATTTCATCCTTGCGGGGACAGGAGAGCCTGAACTCTTTTGTTCCATGCCTGTGATGTCACTAGTGGATAGTGTCTTTATTTTTCTAAAAATGTGAAGCCAGAAACAGACCAAATGGACAGACAGCGAGAGCTCCTGTCAGCTAGTTCACCCCTCAAATACCTGCAATGGTCGAATCTGTGCCGGGCTGATGCCAGGAGCCCCAAGATTCACTCTGGGTCTCCCACATGGGATAGCAGGGACCCAAATCCTGGGGCCATCACTTGCTGCCTCCCAGGGCGTGCTCTAGGCTGGGACTGGCGTCACAGCAGGACTCCAGAGTGGGATGGGGAGACAGCCCGAGCTGTGTCCTACCTGCCATTGAGGACATGTCACACATGACTCAGGTGTTGTCGTGTGGTGCCAAGCTGCGAGGCCCAGACTCTCAATCACCTCATTCTGAAATGTATTTCAGTTTGTGCCTTGAAGGCAAGAAAGGTCCTAGTGTGTCCCTTTGCAGCCAGGATTTTGTGCTGGGTGTCCTGTTGTCCCATTGTCTCTTGTGTTACCTGTGTTTGGGTCTTGGGGGTAGACGATGCTCTTCATGATGTTGGTAGCTGCGATGTTTTATCCCTAGGATTTGCACCTGATGTTGGCAGGGCCACTGTGTCCTGCTGTTGGACGTGTCCTTGACTCCCTGAGAGCATGAGGTGGCTGTGGCCCTTCCCTGGCCCCGAGCAGGTAGATGCTTGTTGAGCGGTACAGGCTGATGTCCTCTTTGGGAGGGCTTGTTTCTTGCCCTCTTGTCTGATGTTTGATGATTTCCGGTTGGCGGTTGTTGGGTTAAACTACACACACATCTTCCTCCTGTCAGTTTCTGCTGCTGCCCCCCTGGGCGGCCTGAAGAGTTCTACCCTTAGAGTTTGAGGGGCAGAGTTGAGGTATGAATGCATTGAACTCCCCTTCAGTTGCTGCTCTGATCCCAAGCCCTCACCTCTGGCATCCATTCTCCTTACAGGAGTGGAGTTTCAGCAATCCC